AGTGCAGGCCCGAGGACCAAGCCCTGGGGTACCCCACTGCTCACATCTCGCCAGGTTGAGTACAACTCGTCTACCACTACTCTCTGGGTGCGCCCCATCAGCCAATTTTTTACCCATCCAACTGTGTGGGTATCAATGCCACAGTCGCTTAATTTATTGATGAGGATGGGGTGAGAGACAGTGTCAAAGGCCTTCTTAAAGTCTAGAAAGACTATGTCCACGGCAACACCACCATCCAAGGATTTAGTTACTTGGTCATAAAAGGCAATCAGGGTGCTCAGGCAGCACCTGCCTTTGATGAACCCATGCCGATTGCCCCTGAGCATGATCTCCCCTGCAGGCCCCCCACAGATGTGCTCCTTGATGATTCTCTCCAAGATCTTCCCGAGCACCGAGGTGAGGCTTACAGGCCTATAGTTACTTGGGTCCTCCTTCCTCCTTTTCTTGAAAACTGGGACCACATTAGCCAGTTTCCAATCCCCTGGCACCTGGCCAGATGACCACGAATCCTCATACAGCGGGGCCAAGGGCTCCGCGATGACCCCTGCCAGCTCCCTCAACACCCTTGGGTGGAGGGCATCTGGACCTGCAGATTTAAAAATGTCTAGCCCTTCCAGAAGATCCCTAACTACTTCTGCACTGACTAAAGGCCTGACAGAGCTATCCCCGAGATTGTCCCTACCTCTGGTAGGTGGGATGTCCCGGTCCCTGTTCATTCTTGTCCCACTTACTGGAGTCAGTGCTTAAGATGTCTCATGCTCACTCTAACACTAATGCATATAACATTCGCTGCCTGACAGCAGAACAAAAATAGACTTCTGGAGTCTAGTTCAAAAACTCATGCTAACTGTCAGAACTGCTGTACTTCTGGTACATATAAAGGGTCACTTTTAAACTTAAATTTGGTCCAAAATGGTAACAAAAGAATGGATTAAAATCAACTCTTTTCCACAGTAAAAATCAAGTGAAGGAATCCTTGTACAGTTTGAAACTGAAACCACTGCAGCCTAAGAACTGAGGTGACTTTTCACTCAATAAAGAGAGTAAAATGGACTTATCTTCACTGTCTAATGGACATAGAAAAGAATTAGAAGCTCAATGCAGCAGATATATGTGGACAAATTCACTCAATTTTTAAGTCCTTCCACTTCAGATTACTAAAATGGGTTATTAGTAAAAAAAATCTGTTGATAACATATGATTCTTAACTTGGCACTGCCCTATGATTAGGGCTTTTACCATTCTTTGAGATCTTTCCAGCCAAACCCAGTTTCTAAGGTTAATTGAAAGTAAAGTTATAAAAGTCCAAATTTAAAATTTTTGTTGTCTTTCATCATGATGTCAAATAGGGGACAAAAATATGCATTGTTGAAGTCTCTATTGTCATTTATCTCCACAACTCTTGGCTGGCTCCATCCATTTGACCCCAGAATTAGTGTGCAGCATAGCTAATGATATGAACCTGCAAGTCTCCAAATATCATCCCTGCTCTTGTTCCTTTCACTTAGTCCTGATAGCTACTGCTGTATTCTACCATACCACTGCTTAGGATCAAACATCCAACAGATCCCCTCTGTACAAAAACACCCCTTTACGAGCACCCACCTACAGCAGACATTTCTGTAAGAAGAAGAAATAACAGCCTATGCAAGTCTCTCTCTCCAAGGAAGGAAAGACTACACCTAGATCTCAGGCCCCAGCCATAAGAGTGGCTTCCTTTTGCTACAAGGGCTGCATACTACCCATCTCACTTCCTCCCCGCTGTGTGTTGGGTCCCTGATGCAAACATGCTTCCTGTAAGCCATGAAATGTGAGGTTAATAAACGTTGCAACAGTCATGTGCTGCATACTGATACACAAAAAAGTCCCCACTGTAATTAACCAGCACAGCACCCCCAGTTCACCCATCAGCTTTTACTGCTGCCACTGCCCCTCCCAGCAGGTCATGCTTGTAGCCAGGAAGTGAAAAGGAGACTGACCTGAAGAGCTCAGATCATGTGGCCGGCTCTCAGCTTCTGCACTCTGCTCTGCTCCCATAGCTGCAGCTGTGATGGAGGAAAAACGATTCCCCCAAGACCTCTACGCTGCTAAGCACACACCTCAGTCCTGGGGGATAAATAGCGAGATCCTTGCACTGCCAATGCAACCTCTCCCCCACCACTTGCAGGCCACAGAGCTCCTTTCCCTCCTGCCTCAGGAGCAAGGGAACAGGTGCCCCCAGCAGCCTTCAAGCAACCAGCAGTCCGACTGGCAGCAGCTCCGCATGTGACCACGTGTAGAGGCAGCTTCCGGGTCTGGAGGATTGTTTCTGTTCCAGGGTCAAAGGAAACCTCGCCCACGCAGGGGATGGGAGGAGGCAGAGGGAGCCCAGGCTTAAAGAGGCAGCTGCTGTGCATCAGATGACCTCAGTCCCTGGGAGTAGGGAAATGTGCTAGCCAAGGGGTTGCCTGCCAAATGCACGCATGCAGAGACGGAGAGCGCGAAGGGAAAAAGAAAAAAAAAAGAAAATGAAGAAGGCTTTTTAAAGCATTGATCGAAATGAGAGTGAGAAGCTAAAGTTAGACTTGAATATTTAACCTAGCAGGGATCCTGCAGTCAGAGCTGGGTATCAGATCTAAATGAGCTTTCAGAGGGGTTTTATCCAGACACCCATGTGCAGAGTATCCGAGCAACTTCCTTCCATGCAAAATAAGATTAGCAAGAGTGAATGGTATTAAGAAATAGCTGGCTTTTCTCCCATTCAGGGGGCTGTGGTTAAGAACGTTTCTTTGTTTGCTTTTTGGAAGCATTGGTTGTAGCTGCGTTGGTCTAAAGACAGAGGCAGACAAGTTTCTTTGGGTAAATGTGATCTCTTGTATTAGACCAACTACATAGTTGGAAAAATTGTTCTTGGCAAGATTTCAGGCACAAATACCCTTCTTCAGGCAGAGGGGGAGTCTGGTGTATTTGTGCCTGAAAGCTTGCCAAGAACAATTTTTCCAACTATGTAGTTGGTCTAATGAAAGATATCACATCTACCCAAAGAACCTTGTCTGTCTTCGTTAGGTTTTGATTTTTATGAAAAGGGGGATCCATTTGTTGGGGGTGTCTGATCATGTCAGGAGGGATGGACAAGTTCTTGATTCCCCTAAACTCACAAGGAAATTCATCCAATGGAACTCGCAGCAATGCAGTTACACCTGTTTTTGTGTTTGCGGAGTTGGTGTTAATTCACATACCATTTTTCAGTTGGGTATATATTGATTCCTTTTTTCCCAAATTGCACAAACATTTTTGAGGAAGGACAGCAGGAAATCTCTGTCATCATTACTGCATTAGGGACTAAATCTCTTCTGGACAGCTTAACAAATAAAATCAGCACAGCTTCATTGTTCTAATTTCTTTTTTTTTTTTAATATTGTTTGTTCAATCAATGAAAAAGAGCAGCCACCTCTTTAAAAGTAAGTACCATCTGTCTGATAAATAAATAAGCAGGTAATGACATGTAGGAAACAACATTCCTTTATCGCTGTAGCAGGGTTAGGCAGCCAAGACAGAAAATTCACAAGTAAGGAGAAAGGGGGGAATCCACTTTGAAGTTTTACTTCATTTTTCTTGTATCCAGCAAAAACAAAAAACAGCAACAAAACTATATATCTTGGCAAATTCCTTTAATAAAAATTAAATTCTTAAACCTTAACTAAAGACAAAACTATTAATCCAGAATAACAGTGCCAGCACTGGCTTCTGGACAAATCCATTCTCTGTTGGGTGAGAACTCTAGACTCTGTACAGTTCTGAGTATAACTTGGCGCACCAGCACACAATTATTTCTGAGCTGAAGTTGCTCCCTTGATTCTACCAACCCCGTTAGGATTTATTTTGATGGCAAGATTGGCAATCCTCCTCTTCTTTTTTAGACCTCATCATATGGCTATTTATGCCATGAACTATTCCAATCAAATCTTACAACACCTTCAGGTCTCCTGAGAAATATGATTTTTCATTTCTACCTAGGAGAATTTGTACATGCTTTGCATTCTATGCCTGAGGAAGGGTGAGAGTGCCCGAAAGCTTGCAAATAAATATATATTTTTAAATATCTAGTTGATTTAATAAAATATATCATCTCTACCACAAGTTTTAATTCCATGTGGCACAAAGGCTGCTAAAAGACATGGGTCACCTTATTGTGGTTATGAACTGTATCATAATGTATTTGCAATATAATAATAATCTGTATTGTGTTACGATTAAATTAATAAATATGAATACAAACAAAAACAAACTATTTCACAGCTATAGAATTATTTTCCTGGAAAAGCGATCAAAAGTTTTTTGGCACGATTCGGTCTGTCCCATTACTATTTTGATCCTGTAGAGATTTACACATGTTTAATATTTCATGTCTCAATAGTTCCATTAACCATAACAGACATCAAACAAACAGTGTATAAAGTTAAGCAGGTGCATATGTTTTGATAGAAGTAGAGTCATGTTCTGTAACATCATTAGTTGACCTCAGACAAATTATACAATTAGATTGACTGAACTTCACACATTTGATTTCAAAGAGTAGTGTGTTTTTTCAAGGTGACAACACAACTTTTATTTGGGCAAAATATTTATTTTCTTGTAGATTAGACCCAAATATTAATTTCTGGTAAGAGTAAAGATTTTGATTGTGCAAACACATTTTCCATGGATAAACAGATCACTTGTTTTAAATATATATCATCCATTTATATTGTGACTTACTTTCTTCTTTCCTCCCAAAAGGCTATTCTGTTCTCCTTTTAAATATTTTTTGAATAGTCAAGGTTTTTATCTGCTATTTACCAGCGTATGTATGAATATGAGGCCTTTGTGCTTGAAAAAGGGAAAAAAAAAAATCAACATTTGGTTCCTTGTAACACTTAAAATATGGTTAAGCAGTTTTTTAATTTAAATAAATATATTAGGTTTGCAAATTATTTTAGTTTTGTATTTTTCACCTAGATGGGAGACAACAACATTGCTCCTAAGTCTGTCAGCTCCGAGCTAAGATAGTTTTTGCAAGTACATACAAATGTTGCATGTCAATATTAGAATATACATTTATGACACTTCATTACTGAGACCTAAACAATATCAAGGGACTCAATCGATTATTTTACATAGTTTTTATTCTACCTTTTTCTCCATGAGAAGCTTGGAAATAATCAATGAAACTGAATGCATGAGAGAATATGTGGTTTGCTGCTTCTTTATAAATGTAGCAGGAAACTATGTAGGGAGGGTTATGGAAACTACTAGGCAGAAACTTAGCTTTACAGCTACTACTGCATGTCTGCCAAACAGAAACATCCAACAATCATTACATTGGCTTAGTAAGTATGATTTTTTCAGTAGATTATTAAATCAAAGTTATTTTTTGTTTGCTTTTGGCATTTAGGGTCCTTTAGGGCACACTCAGGCCACATATCTAAATATTTTTTTCACAGCCACAAAGACTGGGTACTCATTTTGTTAAAGCTGCAGAGTTTCCATTTTCATGCAACTCCAGGAGCTGTAACTTTAAGCAAAACATCAAACATTAAGCATCGCAATTAAATCTCAAGTTTTGGCAACTTTTTACTGTTTCCCTTATTCTAACAAAGTTCCTTGTTCAGTGTTAAAAGGAAGTAGCTCTTTCCATGTTTCTTTACTGTTGCTTTATAACTGGTGGAGCTAAGTGCTTCATCTACAGAGTTTACCAGCCCAAATCCAGCTCAGGAATAAGACATCTGCAGGGCAGCATGGGGTAGTTTATATTGTAGCCACCAATGCTGCACTGTCTCCATCCAAGGCTCTTAAACTGTACTTCAGACATTGATCAAGTAAGTAGTATAATACTGCAGATGTGGAAATCGAGGCACAGAAAAAATGACTTGTTTTCAGAGTATGTCTATATGGCACAGTGTAATGTTGTGCAGGGGTAGCTCAGTTCTCTCTAAACCAGGTAGCTTGAGTACTGGAAGTAGTATAGGTGTATTAATGCAGCACTTCTCAGAGTAGTCTCTTTTCTAGGGAATGCTTTTGCATTTTGTATTAAAGAGCCAATAACGAACAATTAGCAGGCACAAACTGGAATCCAGCCAGGTCTTCCCTTCCAAAGAGAGTGGGCTACCTCCATCATTAGGTTTATAGAGCCATGCTCCCTCTAATGCTTTCCTCTCAGGCCCAGGCATCTGCACACTTACAGCTTCCACTGGAGGGTGGACAGGATGCCCCTTCACCTGTCTAGCTGAAGGCAGCCGTTCTTTTTTAGACTCAAGGAATCAAACCTGGTGGCAGAGGTAATGTGTGATATTAGACCAACTTGGTATTTGGAAAAAAAAAAAGTCTTTATTTGCAAGCTTTTTGGCACAGGCACCCTTCATCAGGCATAGGAGATTGCACAGTTTGTAAAAGTTCTCCTAGGTAAAAATGAAAATTTGTATTTTGCAGGAGAATTGAAGGTTTGGTAAAGTCATCTGTTTGGAACAGTTCATTTTGTGCAGATTAGGATCAGAGAAAGTTGGAAAAGTATTTTTACCTCTAAGTTGCTTGGTGGTAAGTGGTTCTCAAGCTTTTTTAGACTCAAAGCACTTTCCATGGCCTTGCAGGACCTTTTAGACGCAAGGCCTTGAGTCTCTCCAGGGATGCCTTGCGTCTAGAAAAGGCTGAAAACCCCTGGAGTCTGCAGGCTGCAGCAGGAGGCGGGGACGGGTGCGGAGAGCCGAGACTGTGCCCCCCCGGGATTAACTCCGCAACAAGTGGATGTGGCCGCATTTCACTGAGCCCTTCTCAGTTGGCGAGGAGAAGGCTACACCGGGGTGTCGTCCCCTGGCCTGAAGCTCCGCGTCTGCTGGCTGTCCCTGAGGCGAACAGCTGCGGACCCGCCTGGCAGAGCGGGGAGGGTCGGCGCTGGGGTTTCCCGGGGAGTCCGCGGGGCCGGACGCGTCCTGCCGGGCACCCGCCTCAGGACTCGGCCAGGCGCGCGGCTTTCCCGGAACAACCTCAACTCGGGTTGGGAAGGAAATGAAAGGCGTCAGGTGAGTCTGAAATGCTTTTGAAAAAAATCCTAGCCTGGCTTTGGCTAGGGCTGACTCATGCTTCTTGAGCTGGGGAGGGCGGGACTAGTCCTAACTCACTCACTTTCTCCTGGGATCAGCTGCGGGAGTGCACTCAAGCCTGGTGGCGGGGCCGGACCCCCTCGCATTGCGGCGGCGGCGGCTCCCCAGCGCCCGGGGCCGGAGGCTGCGAGGTGAGTCCGCGCGCCAGGCAGCTGGGGGCGGGTTGAAACCCGACTCCCGGATCTCGCTCCCCTCGGGCGCCTGCTCCCCTTGCCCGTTCCCTGCCTGACGCCGAGGGCTCCTCGGCTCTCCCCTCCCTCCCCGAGGAGGCTTGCTCCCCCCACCCAGCCCTGGCTTGGCCTCCTGAGGGGACCAGCGTGTGAGGTGCCCTCCTCTTCCCTCTGCTCCTTCTGGAGTTTTTTTTCTCCTCGGGTGCATCTACACAAGATGCTTAATGCCCAGTAGCCTAATAACATTGTGCAGTAGCAGGCAAAAATTGGGCTAATGTTTTACTGCCCAGCACAGTAGTATTAGGGTACTGTGCAGTAAGCATCACTAAGAAAAGCATGCGCCTGCACTACTGCACAGTAACTAGCTACTGCACAGTTAGTACTTCATTAGACCAACAGGGCTACAACCTGGATACCAGTAACTGGTGTGCATTAATGAACGTGTAGATGTGCTCACTGTCTGCTCGGGCTGGAAGTGGCTAGAAGCCTCATGCTGGAACCATGAAGCCCACATCTTGCTGCTCCTTTTCTGGTGCCTGGGGAGTGTGCGGGCCCTCTCCCGATCCCGCCTGGGTCGCCATGTGCGAGTTCTCTCCTG